TTCATTCTACTAAATGAATTCTTTCGGGATTCATTTCTTTTTCAATAATTTGGGCTCTAATTCCCTTTTCTCCCAAGCAGGCTCCTAATAAGTTATTCATAGGGAATTTACTGTTTATTAGTACCTTGCTAATCACTCCGGGTGAACGTAAAATATCCTGAATCATTATTTTTTTTTGGGCAATTCCGGGAATTTCAATTTCCAGTAATTTTCGTAAAAAGTCCTCGCTACGGCGAGCTAAAATAACCGGGTACTTGCCTGCGACGGCGGTTTCTTGCACCAAAAACCTCTGGGACTGACCTAAACGAGGGTTTTCTCGGGATAACCATTCATTTCGACCTCAATAACCTAAACCCTTTCCGCTCCGTAGGCTTACTAAACAATAATTATGGTAAACTTCCTGAACGGTTCCTTCGATAATTTTCCCTTGCAGAGGCAAAAATTCCTCCGCTCACTTTTTTTGCCGACTATTTTGTAAGGAAAGCCGAAAATGGGCTAAAATTTCTTCATAATTAATTATTTTTTTGAGGTCTAAGGGTTGGAATAGGTGTTCTCCTTGGCGGAAATTTTTTTCGTCGTGAAGCAATTGGTTATCGTTCAAAATTTCCTTATCCGGATTATTAATTTGGTCAACGATTTGGTGAACTTGATAAGCCAAAAATTGCTTTTTTTCCGGGTCAAAAGTTACTTGTAAATCTCCGGACATAGTGCTTTTTTGCCGGCAAATATCTTGGATTGCCAAACTGAGCATTTCAATAATATCTTTTTCGGCAAGTTTTTCTCGCTCGGCCAAATTTTTAATTAATTGGTAAATATTATTTTCTGTCAAAATCTTTATATTATTTATTTTATACAATATTAATAATTTTTTAGATTTTTTTTGTAGTAAATCAGTAAGTTCTAAAATTTAGCAAAGTAATTTAGCCTTTCTTTTTCTTTCAAAGGATAAAGACGATTATTCCGCCCACTATAAAGACCACCAAGAGAGACAAAGTAACTACCCGACCAACCCGCAAGGGCTGAACTAATTTACAACTTCAATTTAAACTATTTTTTTCGTAATAATAAGAAAAATCAGCGTTTTTTGGTATTTCAAATGTAGATGAGTATGGTCCGTCTTTAATAAAACCTCTTTCCAGGTCTACTTTTACCAAAACATTATATTCCTTACCATCTTTTTTAAATTTTATATACTGTTCGCCGTGTAGTTTGCTATTATCGCCTTCAAGTTTAATTGGACATTTACTTTCTCTTAATTCTTTAACTTGCCCGTCGTGGTCTTTGATTTTTAAACGTAAATCGAATTCTTTTCACTCTCTCTCTCTCTATTCATATATATAATTTTAGTAGCCAATAATTAAAACTTGCTAATTTTTACAAAAATTATAAACAAAATAATAAATTTTCAGTTATTTAAATTTGGCACGCCTAGGAGGATTCGAACCCCCGACCTTCTGATCCGAAGTCAGACATTCTGGCCACTGAACTATAGGCGCAGTTTAAAAATAAAAAGGATTTTATATTTGCTATTAGTTATCGTTTTTCTTAATTTCCATTTTTGGGTTAGCATTTATTAGAGGGTTAAATTAATGAGAATAAACCCTAATTTTTACCATTTCAGTTAAGATTTATCAACCAAGTAAAAATGGAGCGAATGAGGGGAATCGAACCCCCATCATTAGCTTGGAAGGCTAAGGTTCTACCCTTGAACTACATTCGCATAACCAAAAAACAATTTCCATTATTTTTTTATGGTGCCTAGAGGCAGGATCGAACTGCCGAACCTCTTGATCTTCAGTCAAGCGCTCTAACCAACTGAGCTATCTAGGCCTGGTAGACCGCAATTACTCGTTCTTCACCGGCTAAATCAGGAAAAACTTTTACTTTGGCGTGGGGAAAATTATTTATTATCATTTTTAAGATTTTTGCCTTTTGTTGGTAGCCGATTTCCATGATTAAGAGAAAATTTTTGGTCAAATACTGTTGAGCCTGTTGGATAATTTTTTCATAAAATCAATAACCATTATTCTTTGCTACCAAGGCTTTTAGCGGTTGCTGTTTGGTGGGGAAAGGAAGGGTTTTATATTCGGCTCGGCTAACATAAGGAGGGTTAGTAATAATCATATTATATTTTTTACCTTTCAGTTTATTAAATAAATTACTACAAATAATTTTTAAATTCTTTACTTGGTGAAGAAGGGCGTTTTTTTTAGCTATTTTTAAGGCATTTTGGCTAATATCAATGGTGGTTACTTTTCCGCAGGGACTAAATTTGGCTAAACTAATGGCTAAATTTCCGCAACCGGTGCCAATGTCCAAAATTTTTAATCTTTTTTGCTCTGGTCAAAGTTGACTAATTAATTCTCTAGTTTTTTCTAGCAAAATTTCCGTATCTTGTTGGGGAATAAATACTCCTTTTTTAATTTTAAAGTTTAGGTTGTAAAAATAAATTTCTTTATTTAAATAAGCCACCGGAGTATTTTTAGTTTGATATTGCTGAATTTTTTGACAAATTTGGCGATAATTAGCCGAGGAAAGGATTTTATTTGAAAAATCTAGCCAAAATTTCGCCGGAGTAACTTGACAAAGGCTAATTAAATCTCTAATTTGGTCTTTGTTTAGATTGGTTTTTGGGGGTAGAAAACTTAAAAAATAGGTTTGGCAATCTTGGTAAGCATAAACTTTTAGCACTTAAATTAATTTTTTTTACGAAAGGCCAGGTAAAGCAAGTAAACAATTAATCCACCGCCTAAAAAGCAACCCACGGCAACTAAGGCAATTTTGCCTCCGGTTCATTTATTTTCTTGTTGTTTGCTATCAAATTGCTCTAATTTTTGGGCTAACTTCTCTAATTCTAGGTTAGGAGGTAAAAGTTGAACGGATTTGGCAGAATTTTCCTTTAATTTTTCTGGGCTTGATTGCTGAATAGTTTCTAATTTTCTTTTTTTAGCAAATAATTGTCTTTCGGCGTCTTTAATTTTGTTCTGTTTATTAATTTGTTGGCTAAGAGGAGAATTTTGGTTTAACTGTTCGGTTAAGGAATTAATCTGGGCTTGTAATTGCTTGATTTCCGTTTGGAGTTGTTGAATTTGTGACGAGTCAATGACGGTTAGTTGATTAAAAGTTTGTTGGATTAAGCGGGAAGCCTGGGTTTGATTAGCCGCCGAACTTTTGGGAATATAAAGTTTGCGTGCCGCTACTCATTTTTTTAAATGCTTAATTAGCACGGGAAGAATTTGAGCCTCAGTTTCTTCTTTCGTATTTATTTTTTCCTCCATAATAGCTAATATAAAGGGTTTTAAGTCATAAAGTAAATCACGGTTAAAGAGCGCAAAACCTAAATTAATGAAAGATTGGCTGAGAGTTTTTACTTCGGCTCGTCAAGTCAGCGGAATTTGGGATAAATATTCGTCTAGTTCGGGGTCGGTTAGGACTTGTAAACAAAACTTTCGGGCTGTTTCCAAACCGTCTCCAATTTCTTGGCGGCTAAGTTGACGAACCGACCACACCATACTTTTGATTTGGGTTGGACTAGGTTGAGGAAGGGAACCCGAGTTAAAGAGTTGCACTACGGTGCGAACACTGCCTTTAAGTTGCTGAT